TGATCACTGTGAATTTGATTCCCATTTCAACCCACCTTCTCACCCATAATTTACATGAGAGACAGAGAAAGAACATGCTTGAATAACTATAACATGTTCTGTATTTGAATATTTCCCAGGCATTGTGGCTAGCAATGGGACTGTCTAGGTTGCTCACCCCTTTACTATATGACTTACAGCAGACTGAGTCCTCAAGCCTGATCTTAAATTCTGGAGATGAAGTGCTACAACTGCCTCCTAACTGAAAGCCTTATTAGTCATTAGTTTGGAATAAGGGAAAAAACCCAAACTTGCTAGAGACTGAATAGTTACAACCCAGGTTTATTAAACTCCAACCCTATTAAAAGTCAGAGGACAAATCTGTAAGTGCTCTCACAAAGCATGTATTCGATTTTTCAGTATTATTATTATGTGTTTAAGGCCATATATTGAAGTCAATGGGAAGTCAGATCCTTCAAAAGAAGCTGGATCAGGCCCTTAATGTTGGTCACAGGAGTTAGACTGAGAGTCTTCTACACCCACCATCTATGAAAGGCAAAACCCGTAACAGTTCAAGCTTCCCTGAGTCGACATGCATCAAACCTGACTTGGAGAGGAGGCATTCAAATTCTAGCCAATACCTAGTCAAACCCAGAATTAAACAGATGCTACTTTTTAGCCCATATCAGTACCTGAAAAAAGGATCCTATAATGTGTTATTAATAGATAAAAAACATGTTTGCATTGTCCACAATCAAAACCACATTTAATGGAGGTGAAATAAATATCTGCTCCCTTTTCCTGGCTAGAGGCCACATATTCTGACTGGAGAAAAACCTACAGTGAGTGCCAGAACACAGAATTTGAATAAAAGGCTCTGGAGCTGAGTCTTTTGCCTCCCCTTTCTCCTTGCTCCGAGATTTTTGGCCACATGGATAATTTGCACTGTCTGAAATAACACTATGTTTTCAATTTGCCACCCAATCTGTTTCAACTTCTTTTAATCTTCCAAGAACAGGCCCTACCACATATAATTCTAACCTTATACACGGATATAAACTAGAATATGTTCAGTAAACTAAAAAACAATGACCTTTTCCTCCAGAGTTTACAGATACTGCAGTGCTTTAAAAGAACATATGTGGGGCATTTTCATTTGATTTTATTTCAGTTAATTTAATCTTCTTTTATAGTCCTGGAAAAACTGTATATTCATTTTAGATTATCCACACCATTCTACATATATTTTTAGCCCATAGGAAATGTAATAAACCTTTTCAAAGTGGGCATTAAAGTTAACTGGTTAGACAAATCGAGCACAATACTTTTAGTGACCTATCAGTAAGAGAAAGTGGGAAATAGGATGTGCCTCGTTGGTAGCATGGACATAGGAAAAGAAGCAATGGGCTTAAACTGCAGCAAGAGGAGGGTTAAGTGAGATATTAGGAAAAACTTCTTAACTGTCAGGGTGGTGAAACACTGGAATAAGTTGCCTAGGGAGGTTGTGGAATCTCCATCTCTGGAGATATTTAAGAGCAGGTTAGAAAAACATTTGTCGGGAATGATCTAGATGGTGAATGGTCCTGCTGTGAGTGCAGGGGACTGGACTTGATGACCTTCCGAAATCCCTTCCAGTTCTTGTATTCTATTATTCTATGATTTCAGAGCCCCCAAAACATCAGTGACTTAATGTAATACCCACTGGAATCAATGGAAAGATTCCAACTGATTTCACTGGGCATTGGTTCAATGCCTTACAGATCCTGGATTAATACTATACCCCTTTTGACTATGCATACATGTGGAGACAACATTTGCTGTCATGGAAATGGAAAAGTCATGAATCAACTACTACATATGGATGTACCATGAAGTCAGCTGACATCATATGTGGAATTGCATTTTCATATAGGTGTTGAACATTCTACATTACCCATTTGCTCTGTGACACACATGCCAGCATGTTTATAAAGATGCCTAAGAGGAGAAAGATAAGTAGTTATGTAGACACTGGCCTGCAACTCTTAAGAGCTGCATAGACATATTACCATAGTCGTGTTTGGAGCAAACCAACTGTGACGGGATGGATGGGGCCCGGCCCCACTGCTGGAGGCTTTGATGCACCACACCCCAGGGAAAAGAGCAGAAAATAGGTCCTCCAAGCAGATTAGAGTGGTTGCTTTTGCTGCAGCTAATCAGAGCCCAGCCGGCTGATATAAAATAAGATTGTAGGCCAGGGCCTGGCAGTTCCTTACTGGAGCTCAACCCAGGCAGACCTGGGGATTGACTGGGAGGACAGTGGAACCTTGGATAGCTCCAACTGTGAGCTCGACTCCAGACCTGGTAGAAATCCAAATCCAGTGGCTGAAGACCAGTCATAATAAGACTACAGCAATTGCAGCACTGGGGATAGGAGGACGTCAAGAATAACTTGACTTCAAAGCCCTACGAGAAAGGGCTGGACAGAGCAGCTTCTTGGGGGAGTGGCCCAGGGAACAAGATAACAGTGAACTTCAGTGATAGTGAGCTGGCAACTGCTACTCACAGGGTCCCTGGGCTGGGCCCCAGAGGAGTGGGTGGGTACCTGCCCCCCAAAAAACCCTCCCAGCAGCTACAAAAAGAGAGTAAGAAGAAGCCATCTCGTACTCCTCCACTCCCAGAAACAGTCAGGGTGGAGAAGTTGCTCTCTTGGCCACAAAAGGAGGCTCACGAGAGGGCAAGCCCCTCTATACCTAACTCAAGAGTGAAGCTAAGTAATTTTATGCTTCATTCTGCACAATGTCAACAACTGTTCTGTGGCTCCCCCCTCAAAGCCACAAGGAAGCCTACAGCCTATCAAGTGAGATCCCACACGGTTTAGTTCTGGATTTGGTCCTGTTCAATACCTCCATTGATTATTTTGATAACGGCACAGGGAGTACACTGATAAAAGTTTGAGATACAACTACAATGCTAACTCAGAGCCACCAGTTCCCTGGGGACTCATGATATTGCCATTTCCACACTCAGTGCAACTGGGTTACATATTGTGAAGACATGTTATTTCTTACAAATAATGATTAACACATTAGCATGACACTATTGAAAGCACAAGTGGCTCTGTAGGGTGTTTCTTGGAGCTGTCCAATAAATCCTATATAGATTACCATGTAAAAAGTACCTTAGAGCTACTCAAATAGATACAGAACAGGCGGCTGGAGATGGATCCTCAATGACATGGCTGCCATGGAACATGGCTTCACAAGTGCACATGGAGGTACTCAGGTGCCTCATAGCTGGGTGACCTTGTTTTGTACTGAGACCCCCCAATACCAATGGCCTCAGAGCATCTCTTATTACTTGCCCGTTTGAAAGATGCTACTGATGACATCAACTACCAAATAACAATTTCTGTGGGAGTCTGTACATTTCCTTTTGCACATATATACTTGTAGAGTTGGAGGAAACAATCCCTGTGACTGTGCCAATATTGATTGGTGTCTGCACCTGGAACTATTCAAATGTTTTGTGTGCTCTCTCCCCTCTCTCTCATTCTCTGATAATTGATGGGAACATTATCCCCTTCTTCCTGCTCCTGCATACAATTCTAAGCATCTGCTTCCCGCGGCTTGAGTGTCTACAGCTTTGCCCTTGATACAGACACACAGCAAAATAAGGACAGATACATGGATGAAGTTTAAGAAGCAGGCTGCTCTTGTTGTTAAATTTAGATAGTGGGGTGGGGTACTACCCATCCATCACCCCTATTCTCCTGTACCTGGCATTTAATTGGTTCCATTGCAGGGGGTTGATGGTATCTTACCATATGGCCCTCACACCAGGTTAAATACCAGACAGAGGAATGCTGACCAATCAGTACCCCTCCCCGCCAATTGACCAATGGGTGAATGAGATTCCAAGGGGAGGCAGAAGAAGATATCCGGTCCTCACTGACTGTCTACTTCCCTTGCTGAAGGGCTGTCTCCTTTCACTGTTGGCCCCAATAGGCTCCCCCACCCACTGAGGCAGGTGGGTTTCTGGAAATTAAGCCCCAAGTCATTTAAGTTCACCTATTGGTTCACCTTTCTGATGCTATTGTAATTAAGATGAATCTTTTTTTTTTTTTTAAATGATTAGCTAGCAAACACAGGAGTCAGTCTAGCGCCACATTTCTTCTCAGGAAATTACCCAAAGAAAAAACTGCATTTATGAATATACAAGCAAATCGCTTTTTGCAGAGGATTCTTTCCCCTTTTGCATGGAAGAGCATGTTTATTTTTTCTTGTCAGATCCAGCAAATGTTTCTTGATGCAAAAAATGTAAAATTTCTCTCCGAAAAGGAACATTTTACAATTCATCACCAGGGCTAAAGCAGCTGCAGCTGTGGGAAAGGGTAGGCATATTCGCTGTTATATTATGTACAAAGCCTTTATTTTGTGCCTTTAGTTCCGGAGAGTGGCAGGAAAGTTCAGGATTTTTTCTACGTTTTTACATGCTACAAAAGTCACTTGTAGTGAATTTTTGCAACATATTTTAATGAAGATTATGCTCGACAGAGGGAACTTTAATATACATAATATGTAAAAATATTGCATTTTAACAAGGGTTTTTAATTATGTTTTTATTGTCACTGTCATTATGTGTTAAATAGGATACAATTCACCATATCAAGGATGAGTTTGTTAGTGGTGCCTTAGGCTTAATACCAGCTCAAATATTATGAAGAAATTAACTCTGATAAAGATGATTTATTGCTACCCAAGTACATTCATCACATGCATTGTTTACTATTAGCAGTGAAGACTCTGTAGGAGTCACTGTCTCTGGCCCAGCCTGAAACCTTTGCCATTCTATGTTTGAAATCTAACTTCTTCCCCGCTTACTTTTTGTCTCTATTTGCCCTCAGTATCTTAGACACTGAGGCAATGATTTAGCAAATTATTTAACATTATGCATGTGCTTTTTTGAAAAATGGCCATCCAGGGGGAAAAAAAATCAAACAATTTTTCAATCCAGTAATGATATCAGCAACCATTACTCACCACTGTCTATTGCCAGAAATAATGCTGTGTAGATGTTGTTGTGCACATAGGGTGATTCACGATCCAGGACAGCAGTGGTGACAATGGTACCATTTGTAGGATTAATTTCCAGCCATCCTGCCGGATCCTTGTAAACAGAATACCTAGGCAAAAAGATAAAAGCCATCAACTGATCACATATCTAAACATGAACTGATTATGTTACTACAAAAGACTTTTCACTGAGTGCCTTTCTTAGCTGAATCTCTTAACTACTTTCACACACACATAATGTAAGACTCGTGATCAGGGGGGGCTGGCAGACTTGCCAGGTTCCTGGGTAATGTGGGACAGGCCCATAACTTGTGCCTGAAAGGGGCGGGACCTTAGGCAGAAAGGGTGAGGCTGTGGCAGCAGGCCCTCAGCCCTGCCTGGAGCATAGCATGCCACCTTCCCCCAGCCCTCAGCACCACACGCAATGCGCCAGATGGCATTCCAGTGGCGATGTAAACGTCTTGAGGCTCTGAGCCCTTTTGAATGGCCAGATACTGGGGCAAGTGCCTCATGTACTCCCTCCCCACCCACATTGGCAGGCCTGCCCATGATACTTCTTTGAGGGTACATCTAGACTGCTTTCCTCTTCCGAAAGAAGAAATGCAAATGAAGCGATTATTAGCATATTCCCATGCTTCATTTGCATATCCTCTTCCGACCCTTTTTGCAGAAGGGAGTTTTTCACCAAAATACGCAGTCTAGACATGGCTTTTTTGCAAAAAAATCCCCACTTTTTCCAAAGAACCCGTAAACCTCATTTTTTGAGGAATACAGGTTCTTTCGAAAAAGGGGTTTTGTCATGAAAAAGCCATGTCTAGATTGCATTTTTTGGTGAGAAAACCTCTTCTGCAAAAAGGGCCGGAAGAGGATATGCAAATGAAGCATGGGAATATGCTAAGCAGCACTTCATTTGCATTTCCTCTTTTGGAAGAGGAAAGCAGTCTAGATGTACCCTGAGATCGGTCATAAGAACGTAAGAACATACAATTAAATTCATTTTACAGATGGAGAAACAGATGGAGAGAGGTTAAGACCAGAGGCGTAGCGAAGGGCTGACGGGGGGCCATTTGCCCCCAGGCGCCATGCCAGGGGGGGTGCCAGGCTGGGCTGGGAGCAAAACTCATGCTGCTCTGGCCCACGTGATACTTTTGAACAGAGACCGGGAGTTGGCTAAGTGCTCCTGACTCTCTACACGCTACAAGCTGAGGCAACAGGGCTGGGTGGCAGCAGCGGCCATTGTAAAGGTTAGAATCCCGTACCCAGCTGTTCCGTTCCTCCCGTGCCTGGCTCTGGGGGGAAGGGAGGATTTGATGGGGGGGCACTCCCAGCGCTGGGGGAGGGACTCATTCAGGGGGAGGAGTGAGCTCATTCGGATGGGGTCTATGGGGGGTCTGGCTCTGTGGGAGGTGTGAGTGCATTGGGATGGGGGTTGGCTCTGTGGGAGGTATGAGTGCATTGGGATGGGGGATGGGTCTGTGGGAGGTATGAGTGCATTGGGATGGGGGATGGGTCTGTGGGAGGTATGAGTGCATTGGGATGGGGGATGGGTCTGTGGGAGGTATGAGTGCATTGGGATGGGGGATGGGTCTGTGGGAGGTATGAGTGCATTGGGATGGGGGATGGGTCTGTGGGAGGTATGAGTGCATTGGGATGGGGGATGGGTCTGTGGGAGGTATGAGTGCATTGGGATGGGGGATGGGTCTGTGGGAGGTATGAGTGCATTGGGATGGGGGATGGGTCTGTGGGAGGTATGAGTGCATTGGGATGGGGGATGGGTCTGTGGGAGGTATGAGTGCATTGGGATGGGGGATGGGTCTGTGGGAGGTATGTGCATTGGGATGGGGGCTGGCTTTGTTGGAGGTATGAATGCATTGGGTTGGGGGGCTGGCTCTGTGGGAGGTGTGAGTGCATTGGGATGGGGGGCTGCTGATGGGGGGGGGGTTGGGGGGGGGGGGGGG